ACCTACTACTACCTACTACTACTACTACTACTACTACTACTACTACTACTACTACTACTACTACTACTACTACTACTACTACTACTACCTCCTACTACTACTACTACTACTACTACTACTACTACTACTACTACTACTACTACTACTACTACTACTACTACTACTACTACTACTACTATACTACTACTACTACTACTACTACTACTACTACTACTACTACTACTACTACTACTACTACTACTACTACTACTATACTACTACTACTACTACTACTACTACTACTACTACTACTACTACTACTACTACTACTACTACTACTACTACTACTACTACTACTACTACTACTACTACTACTACTACTACTACTACTACTACTACTACTACTACTACTACGACTACTACGACTACGACAACTACTTTCCTACCACCCCTTCAACAACTACTGTGACGGTTGCGGCCAACCATGACCACTACGACACCACTACGACGCCAACTTTGGCGGACGACTTCGGCGATGAACACGACAGCTACAACACCTGCTGGCAAAACCGCAATGTTCACAGCAATGGCTGGCAATGCATGAAAGAAAAGCGGACGCCCCTTTACCACATCAGCAGCACAGCGGGCCGGTGAGACGGCCAGCCAAACAGCACAGAACAACACACAACACACAAGAGAAAAGCGATCCCTCTCTCAGAACACGAAGAGGTCGACGTGGCTCTCAGTCGAAGCCTTCCAAGTCCGAAACCCCAAATTGCAGAAGCGATGGTTTCAAAAAGCTTCGAAGCTTCAAAGATGAGTTCGAAGGCTTCCAAGGCAAGGACGAACGGGGAGAGGCTTCGAAGGCTTCGAAGGTGAAGACGAAGGGGCTTCGAAGGCTTCAAGGCGAGGACGAAGGGGAAGGGGGCTTCGAAGACTTCGAAGGGAGGACGAAGGGGGCTTCGAAGGCTTCGAAGGTGAGGACGAAGGCCGCCTCTCGGACGGCGGGTGCTTGGACAGTCTTGGGATTGGCACTCAGGCAGGATCCGAGGACAGTTGATGAAGTGGCTTCATCCTCCTTCGAACCTTCGAAGCCTTCGAAGGCGAAAGGGTCGAAGGGGAGGCTTTTCAAATTAAAACATCTTTCACATTGGCTTATTGAAGGAGTGGGCGGAAAAACAATTACGCAATGCCTGTTCCAGAAGTTCTTGCAACCGACAAAAGTGCAAGCGAACCCGCGCATTACCTTTCTCACAAGTAAGTCAAGAACAATGCAGTTAAATTGTGCAACCAGCTGAAAATCCACGTGTTCTGCGAGAAGGAGCTGTTACTGCTCGCGGTGCCAAGCTGGAAGTGTGCTTGGAGCAAACCTGTTTTGTATGGTGTTTTTGGACATGTTGATTTTTAATTTTTAAGCCACATCAGTTTGGTTGATTAAGTTGCAAAAAAATAGTAAGGCTCATCTTGTTTTCAGCTTCTTTCGAAAAGAATATTCGTTAAACAAGAAAAATTTGATTTTGTATTTTGTCGATCCATTTGAAAAAACGTTTGTACGCGCAATTTTTATGTGTTACAGTGTGCTGGACGTGTAAATTCATCAATTCAAGATATTCTCAGCATCTTTTTCATTGATATTTGTCAAAAAACAAAAAATGCATTTTCTAAAAGAATTTAAAAATATTTGATTTTCAATCTGTCGTGAATGCCTTGGATTGACTGTTAGACACAAACGTTGAAATGTTTTCAAAGAAGTTTAGCGGATTGTAGTTGTAGCTTGTTTGGGTGTGATTGGGTTCTGGTGCGGGTTGTGGTGTGGTTGTTGCGGCTTGTCACGGTTGTTGTGGGTTGTTGTGGGTGGTTTTACGCGTCATATTGCCAGTGGTCGTTACGCGTCATTCCTTTGTGTTAACGGCGCAAACTGGATCGGTTGTTTTTAGTTCACTCTGAGAATGTACGTGGAGCGACGTTGGAAAAAAACTGCACTTTAAGAACTGAAACATGCACTTGCACTGGAAACTTTACACCAGAAACACTTTACAACATCTGAATAACATTCACTTTGCATTTTAAAACAGAAACATGCTTAAAAAATAGAAATATGCAACATGCACTTACCAAAATGCTTGAAACACTCACACCAGAGTGAATATCACTTACTGCACAGAGTGAACATGCACTGACTAGATCTTGCTCAAAACAGAAATACTAACACCAGAAAACCGAAAAAGCGTTGCACAAACCTGAAATCAAGATCGATTTTTGAGAAAAATCACTTCGCATCCTTTGATTTTTTTATTGTTAACAGAAAAATGTTGGATTAAGAGACCTGTAAGTTTTTTGATTTGTGTTTCTCATGTTTGTTTAGTGTGTTTTTGGGCTCCGCGCCAAATTTGCTGCATTGCGGAGGCGTCGTCGGGTGGTGTCAATGTTGTTCACGTTGCCGAGCCTCCAAAAGATGCATATTGCGAGCCTCATGTGAGCATCGTGAAGAGCACCCGCGTGGTTCAAGGAAGGCTGGCAC